TACTCCTTTAATTTCCTGCTCTTGTCTTATTGCTCTTGCAAGAGTTTCAAGCACTATGTTAAAGAGAAGTGGAGATAGTAGACAGCCTTGTCTGGTTCCTGATTTCAATAGGAATGCTTCCAGTTTTTCTCCATTTAGAATGATGTTGGCCAGGAGAGAGGCTGGCTGGTTGTGCAAGCCCAGGGAAGCAGAGGGAGGTGAGGGTGGGACCAGGCCCAGAGGGCTCCTGGGGACCACAAGAAGGAACAGGGTTAGTCTGGATGCAAGGGATCAGGAAGCAGTGGTGGTTCCAGGCCAAGAGGTCAGCCCTGGTGTCCAGGAAAGAGGGGGTGGTTTGTGCAGCCCAGGGAAGCAGAGGGAGGTGATGGCGGGACCAGGCCCAGGGGGCTCCTGGGAGAGAGGCTCATATTTTGGTTTTGATGTAGCCCAGGTTGGCTTCAAACTTGCTCCATAACTGAAGATAATCTTATACTCCTGATCCTCCCGCTTCCACTTCAAGTGCTGGGATTGTAGGCATTTGCCATCAAACCTAGTTTGACTCTACTTTGAATTCATGAATTTGGGATAAATTCTGAACACTTATTACAAAGAAGCATTATTTTATTGTTCTGTTATGGGTTTCAAATAATTTGCTAAGTGCCTTCAAAACATTAACTTTTCGTTATTCTGTTAAAATTCTTCTCATCACTTGGGAACTTTTCTGCTTTTCCTACTTCTGGGATTACAGACATGTACCACCAGGCCTGCTGTTTTGTGACCAAAGTCCAACTTGGGCAACGAATGAGTTTACTGGGCTTACTTACAGAAGCATGGACGAGGGGTACCTATAGGTGTGAGGGTGCCCCCCTAAACAGCCATAACTGAAGAGTTTTACCCCACCATGGCTAACTTCCCCATAGCTGCATAGATGAAGTCTCCCCTTTAACCTTCCACACTCGTTGTACTGTATTCCTTCACCAGACCAGGAGATCCCATGTAGCCCAGGCAGAATTAATTACAGCTGGAAGGTGTAGGAAGGAATAGCTGGAATCTTAAATTAGGTGACGATCAAATGACACTCCGAACCCCATCTTCTATGCAAGAGGTCCACATGTCCACAGGTCCAATCTGAGGGTCTCCTGCTAGTGATCACAGCTGCTCTGGTGAAGATGGTGATGGCCATTAGGCTCAGAGGACAGTGTTTCTTTAACACTCTTGGCTTGTTCCAAGCTAGCCTGGAGAGTAACCCTTGAATGGCCTTGAGGTTGGAAGATAGTGAGAGATCTCAGTTATTTCCATATGGGCAAGTTTTGGGTTATTTCTTTTAAAATCATTTTGAACAAATGAAAGTAACACTCCCATAGCAAATCAGTGTTACAATAAACAGTCCTGAAAATTCTACAAAAATAAAGGAATAATACAACTCAAATCAAAAGGCCAGGATTTCATGAAAGGGGAAGGGGGAGAAGGCAGGAGAGGGAGGAGGAGAGAGGATAGAAAAAAATAACCATGACATTTTGGGTGTGTGCTTAACATCTGTCAAAAAAGCTCCTATATACTGCAGTTTTAGGGTAGGTTGGGGCCACATTAAGGTAGTTTTCAGATCCAGTGTTTTTTGTTGAGACTGTCTGACATGCTAGGCCAAGCAAGTCTCAGACTCATGACAATCCTCCTGTCTCCTAAGTGCTCCACCTTGGCAAAAGCCAGTGTTACCCACAGGGTTTATTTTATGGTCTTATAGCCTTGATTGCCTCATCTTTAAAATGTGAAGATTGCTTTAAAAATTAACCAATCATGTAGACACCAAACAGCAGGCAAGGTGAACAGCCATGTGATGCCACTGCCAAGTTACCAAGACTGGAGGACAGAGGAGAAAACTCGAAACATGAGTTGGTATAGGAAGTCCTTGGAGTTGTGTGAAGTTAGATAGGCTGATTCCCGATCCTGTGACTTGTAATAAAAGCCTGCAAATTTTGATTTCCTAATCTACAAAACAAAAGCAATGAACATTTGTCATTGTTTTCTGCAGGAGGTGAGAGTTCCTGGGATGAGGTGAATGAAGAAGCACCAAACCAGAGGTCTGGCAGAGCCCCAGGCACTCAGCCCGCATTAGTGCTGTCCTTCCATCCTCTCCACAGCCCCAGCCCCTGGACAGCCAGGAGGCAGAGCTGAGAGCCCCAGGACCACTGGCTGTCTTCTGTGTATTTTTTTTTCTCCTCTGTCTCTGTCTGTAAATGATAAGGGACACATCTGCTGAAGCAAAACAGGTTATAGGAAGGAGCTAACAGGCTCAATGACAAAGGACAAGTGCAGCTGGGCCCAGGGAAGACAGGCGAACACTCACGAAAAGCAAGCAAGGTGTTTCCCTTTTTTTTTTTTTTTTTTTTTAATAGAAATGCATCACCAATGTAAATATGCACACACATAATTTTAACATCATTCTTTGCTATTTAGGCTGTCTGTGCAAAGTGGAACTCCATTAGGCTATGGAGGCAAGCATTTTAGTAATAGTTTGAAATATAGTGAGTGTATGGGCAGTGAATGCAGCTCAGTAGAGCCCTGCCTAGAATGCCCAAAGTCCTGGATTCAAATATAGCATAAAATAATGATTAAAAACATAAAACTGGGGTTGGAGAGATGGCTCAGCGGTTAAGAGCACTGACTGCTCTTGCAGAGGACCCGGGTTCAATTCCCAGCACCCACATGGTGGCTACAAAACGGCTTTAACTGCAGTTCCAGGGGAATCTGACACCCTCTTCTGACCTCTGCAGCATTGCACGACAAGGGTGCACTCACATACATGCAGGCAATACACTCAATACACATAAAATTAAATTAAAAAATAAAAAATAGGCCGGGTGTGGTGGCATACGCCTTTGCAGATCTCTTTGAGTTCAAGGCCAGCCTGGTCTACATAGTGAGTTCCAGGACAGCTGGGGCTATAGGGAGACCCTGTCTCAAAAAGACCAAAATAATAAAAAATAATAATAATAATAATATTAAAAAAAGAAATTCTCTAAAAAAAAACATAAAACTGTACTTATAACGATTGGTTATTCAAGATGGTGTGCACATGGAGAGACTGAAGTAGGGCACTTGGAAAATAAAAACCACTGATTAGAACAACAGAATTAGCAGTGCCTGTAATCTAAGTGCTTAATACCCATTGAACAAGATTTGATTTTTATTTTCTATATATTGTAACTGTGAATATTTATCTCCTGTTTTCAGTCCATGCCCTTTCTATCAAAGTGGTCTTTTAAATAATTTTTAAATTTTATTTATTTTTTTTACTTTGTCTTTTTGAGACAGGGTCTCTCTGGTCTCTCTAGCTGACCTGGAACTCACTATGTAGACCAGGCTGGCCTTGATCTTTCAAATTTATTTTTATTTTATGTGTTTTGCCTGCATGTATGTAAGTGCACCACTGTGTGTGCAGTGCCTGCAGAGGCCAGAAGAGGGAATTAGAAGAACTGGAGTTAGAGAGTTGTTAGCCATGTGGGTACCTGGAACTTGAACCTGGGTTTTTTGTAAGAGTAGCAAGCACTCATAACTGCTGAGCCATTTCTCCAGTCCTCTACTTCTTTTCTTCATGCAATCTTAAATCCAAAGACAATGATGTCATCTGAAAAGTTTGCAGAATCAAGGAAGGTGGGTCATGGTACAGATAACTGGATAAAGGTCAACTCCTGCACTTCAGATAGTTAAAGCGAAAAGAAACACCGCAGATAAGCAGGAGACCTGAGTTATGTTCATTAATTGGCCAGCTGGCCTTAGGGAAAATCACCCCTTATGTGTCAGCTGACAGGTCCCCAATGTGACAGATAACCCTGGGCTTCTTAGCAGTACAAAGGTTAAATGTCAAGATAATACATACTGGGTCGATGAAAACAGATGCATTCTTCAAGAGTTAATATTTGAAAACTTTATTTTCTCAAATGAGCACCAACACAGATCGGAAATATGACAGAAACAATGCACTTTTCTCTAATACTGAATCATTATGTACAAATACCGGAAAGAGGTGAAGACAAACTATTAAAAAAACAATTGCCTTTGTTATCGAAGCAAAGTGACCTAGAAAAATGCCACCAAAGAAAATGAACACAAAAACAATCCCAAACCCAAAAACTACAGTTTGTAAACACAAGCATAAACACAGACCTGTAGTATGCAATAGTCTCTGCAGGTTGGGGAAAGAGAACCCATTCCCACCTTCACCAAATGCTCCAGGAAAAATACGGGCAGAAAAACAACAACAACAACAAAGAAGTGTAAAGAGAACAACTTCTTTCTTCTTAGATTTATCTTTTACAGTCAGTAGATTTCATGACTATACTGTAATTTAAAAATTAATCATCTTTTTTGCTCTACCTACAGGATACTATGCTTGCTCAACTGAGGCAGATTCTTTTGAATTATGAAAGCTGATTGTATTCAAGATGTGATTTGCCAGCCTCTTCCTGAATCTGAAACAATCTGACCTTAGAAACAAAAGCTGTTTACCTATAAGGTACATGTATTATGTTATTAATGTTCCTCTAACCTGAACCAGTTAACGTTTAACATGACGTGGCTCCTAAATTAACCAGAGCCTGGGGACCTGTGATTGATTGGCTCACATCAGAAGTGCAGACTTAGGCTTGATCTTTACAAACACATTTCCTTTAAGGCTGTAAAAGCTGAGCACACAAAGGAAAAGGAACAAAACTGACTACAGCTTCATGCTCTGGAAAACAAAAGCCTCGTGCTTTGCGCTGTTGGTCCACTCAGAAATGAAAACAACCAGAGAGAAAGAAGAAAAACTGTGTGTGCCCAAGGTGTAAACTGCAGTTAACTGTGTCCCCAGTAGAAAAGAGGAGGCACAATCCAGAGCGCTCACACACACGCACACCCTTAACAAGATTCCAATTTGTTGGAAGTTCTTCCAGCTACAGTGATTACTCTTGAAGCTGTCACTACTAAACTTAATTGATTTTATATTTCTTTTCTAGCCAATACTGGTGCAAGAAAATTTCAGTTCACAACCTGGTAATTTACTACAAACTCTGTTCCAGTGGGAAAAATGCAAACAGGAATTGCTTTAAAGCCTCAATCCATGTTAAAGTGATAGAGATCTTAAAAAAAAAAAAAAAAAAGAATACTGGTGATTACTGTTTCCCTTAAAATATACTTCAAAAAATGTAGAGGAAACCATAGAATTGAAAATAAAAGTGCTCTCAGGGGATCTGAGAAAACAGCACCAAATATATTATTTAAAAAATTAAATATTATTTACAAAAGTACATTTCACAAGCAACTGTTTATACATATACATATATACTTGAAAATCTTATTGATTTACCAGTTAAGATTTACTTTCTTTTATCTACATAATCTTACTATCAAAGGAGCTGGGGTGGTACTCAGACAGGCCCAGCTGAGATTACAGGCATCAAGCCTGACTATACTTGATTCTTGTCGCTCTACCCATCAGCAGCCTGGGGCTGAATATTCTGGGGGTGGGTGTGGGCTGGGCTGGGTGTACGCTAGGGTGGCCATAGCCCTATGACCTACAGTGGCACAGGGAGATGGAATGAGTGTCAGCCAGCTGGACTTCAATAGGAAGGCAGCTGGTGGCTGAGGTATAGAACTTCATGCCTTTCCCTTTCTACCTTTTCCCTTCCCTACTCCCCTGCCCAAGTTCACCAACCATCTCCAACTCCCTGAACCTATATGGGGTGAATGGACGAGGTCTTTGGTTATGCTGAGTCAAAAATTTGGCAAGGAAATGAAAGAACAAAGCGACTGAGGTCATGAGTTCATGTGTCTCTGTCACTCGGTCACAGCCTCTCTAATACTGCTGGGTGTTAGGTAGACCAGCCACGAATGGAGCTAAGGTTATAAGAAGCACTTCTGGTTTCATTGACACAAAGGGAAGCCTAATGAGTTTTGGTTCACATCCCCCTGCCAACATGCAGTTAATGGAAAACCAACACTCTGATGTCTTGCACCAACTACAGTGTCCAACACCCATTGGATGCTCAATGGACAGTCGTTCAAGAAAAAAACAGAACCAGGGTCTGACTGGAGCTTGCTCTGATCCAAGGACCCCACCCCTAAGGAAGAATAGTGGCACACTGGTCTCCTTTTCTGCCCCATGACAAGTCCAGGGCATCCCATGTTCTATACATCACCACATATCAATTTTAATTTTGAAGAAAAAACACCTACCTAGGTTTAACCACACCCCTCCTTTATTTATTTTATGAAAAGGACTCTTAACATAGCTGGGATAATTCCTGAGCAAAGGATCTAATCAAATCCATAAACGAAGGCCACTTCCTTCAGGCAGGATAAGAGGGGGCAATGCATGACTTCTGTGCTGGCAAGTCCAGCTTAAGAATGTGATAGTTGAAAAATATTGGTTGCTGAGAACTTGGGTCTGAGTGCCAGAGGATGGTTTTTCTGGAAGCAAAAACTAGATGCTTCTGGGTCTCAGTCTGCCTTGCAGTACAGTGGGGAGGTCCACTTAATCTCCAGAGCTAGGGGGCACTGGAAAGACCTGGACAAGAAGCCTTGAGGAACAGAATTCAGAATCTAGGAATACTTCTGTATTCCAGGAGAGTAGAAATCTACTGCTAAACACAGAGCTGCGCTGGCTCGTCATCCTGCCTTCACCACCAGCAGGGCAGGGCTGTGCCTGTCTGTCTCAAGTCTTCCATCCCAAGATCAGCACATGGGGACAAAAAGGCATATCCACCAGGTGCCGGCTCCCTGTGGGAATTTGGCTGCCCTGCTGCTGGGGTTTGGAAAATGTCCTGGGTTGACTGCTTTAATCTTCGTTAATCAACTTTACAGATTCTTATCTCCAGGAACTCGCTCTTTTATTAGACTTTTTTTGAGGTGAATTTTCCCATAGGATCAGCCTAGCTGGAGAATGAGATGCTGAGAATTATCAAATACACACACATTTTACCAATATTTTCTGCCTAAGATCTGAAATGAACTCAAATGACTCTCGGCCATGCACCACATACTGGCTGAATGCTGCAGAACAGACTCACAGTGTTGATTAAATGTTAACAAATTCTGTTTCCTCTCATGAGACTTACAGGGGTTTGTTCTTCCTATCGCCAACACAATGAAGCTTGGGTAGGGGTGGTGGGTGATATTGAATTTGTAACCCCTCCCCCTGCTGGACTACAATGTCAAGAGATTTCTCTCCATATAAGACATTCAGGTCTAAGAACAGAGGGCATGAGGGATGGTCCAACCAGTTCTTAAAATCTCAGATGTTTGGTTTCCCAGCTTATGACAATGGAACTGGAGCAAAACCCTGAAACACTAGAAAGACTTGTTGGTCTGCTGGAAGCTGCTACATATCCAATGAGGAAAGATGCACTCGGCCACCTGTACTGGTTCAGATCCGTTCCCCACACAATTTCTGGCAGATTCTCTTCCCCAGCAACATTACTCCTGTAGAATTGCTAACTAGCTCTCGCCTTTTATTTTTCCCTCTCCATCAGTCATTCTCCAGGAGCTCCCAGGCTACAGCCCTCCTCAACCCCCATCCCCATGCTCCTCAGTTAGTGATTTTACTGGGTTGCTGGCCAAATGGGATATTTCTCCCCTCACCTATGATGGCTAAGGAGGCAAAGGTGATTGCCCAGAAGCCAGGGGGACATTAGAGTCATCAAAACCCATTTAGGCTTTACCTAACCCCCTCTTCCAGGACATTCTCCAACTCAGCCCCAGAGCACCAGGCCCTTGCCCTGTCAGCTAGAATCAGGGCCACTTGTTCTCATCGTCCATCCTGGCACATCTGATGTGAGGACAGAAGTGTGTGGTTAGAGAATGCAGTCATGAGGTATTTGTTTTTCTTTGTCCTTTTTGACAAGTCAGTTATTTCAAGCCTGTTACCAGTCTCCAGGGGCAGTACAATTTTGTTCCTACCTCCACCCTCCTGCCCCTTCCCAACCCCCAGGACCCTGCAGTCCCCCTTTTCCCTCTTCCTCATGCCCACATGACATTGCTCTCCTGACAAGGGGCCACCAGGCCGCTCCTGTACATGCTAGGGGCCCTTTACAAGGTGGTGGGCCACCTTGCAGTCAAGGATCTGTTCTTTTCCTTATTTTGTTTTCAGTCAACACTAGAACAGAGAGAGAAGCAAGATCAACTCACAAACAGATACAAAGAGACAGAGAGACAGCGATTTAGAGGCCAGTCACCAAAAAAGATGGTGTCAGGGTGGGAGGATGTCCAGATGGCAAGGCCCTTAAATGGGTGGAACCAAGTGTTCAGTCACTGTCTCACGCTCGGGCAGAATTTCGGCTGGATGGTGCTTACATGGACACGGGATTGGCAGGTGCTGTTGGGTCAGTCCCAGCCATTGTCCTTGATCATGTGTGCGAGCTCAATGATGTATTTGCCTTCTTTGTATTTCTGGCTGCTTTCGAAAGCGTGTTCCTATGAAGCAGAGGAAGAGAAAAAACACTCGGTGAGGAGAGGAGCACAGGCGACTTCTAAGGCAGTGACTTGTAAAGCAGTGGTGTAGCTGATAACTGACAGTGCAAGCAAAGGTCAGGTTCATGCCTCAGGCTCACCACCAGTCCCACCTCAAAGACACTGTGCCCCTGTGCTTAATCACACAACTGAGGGAACACCAGGACTTCCTCAATACCAGGACAAAATTTGTTTTCGATCTTTCTTCTTTAAGTCTTTGCTCAAATGTAAGGTCTTTACCGAATACACAACTTGAAATTCCAATCTCACCCCAGCATGCCGCCGCCCTCTCTCCCTTCCAGCACCAGCCTTTGTTTTTATTCACAGTGCTTCTCACTTTCAAATATACATTATAATGCATATTTCTTGCTGTTTCCATGTCCGATGAATCAAGCCTGTTTTTCTTTCATTGCATTTCTCCAGGGAGCCACATAAACTTCATTTCAGGATGCGGAACCCACCCCTTGACCCCATACAAACTCCCTGGAAGGTTGCTCTCTAAACTTACAGCTCTGTGGGATCTCTCAATAAGCCCCACAGAAAGCCACCATGTGTAAGTGTAGGTAGGATAAGGGGCTCTCACTTGTGGTGACAGACACACAGGAACATCATGTCTCACAGTGTGAGCACTGGTCACTGGAGTCATCACATAGCTAAGTCTGAGGTACAGAAGCAGTGAACATGGGCTCTTCTGCTCGGCCTCTGAAATTAGTAGGAAACTAGACATATTGCCAGGAGGTTCTGATAATATTGGTCTGAACTGTGCCTTCTGTCTTAAGAGTTCTCAGCTTTGGTTTTCAGAAGAAGAGTTCAGAGTTTAGTATCTCGTTCTACAAAGTGCAGAGATGGCGGAGGGGAACCAAGAGAGAACAGCGAATGTGCAAACACCATACACACAACTGTGGGCTCAGCAGCAATTTCCCTTACACTTCATTATTCCCTGGCTCCAAATGTATGTGTGTGTATGTGTGTGTGTGTGTGTGTGTGTGTGTGTATACCAAAGAGGTACATGATTTGGGAATAAGATCTGCTGTGTTCCATGTTCAAAGCAGAAGTGGAAAAGGAAAAAAAAGTTAGAGAAGTTCCCCTCAGGTGTGGTGGAGCATGCCTATAATTCCAACACTTAAAAGACTGAGGCAAGAGAATTGCCCAAGAGTTCAAGGCCAGCCTAGGCTTCGTAGTGAGAGCCTGATTAGTATGTGATACTATGGTGACATCCTGCAAAAAATATGAAAGAAACACACATATGTAGAGGGGGAAAGAGAGAGAGAGGGAGACAGGGGTGGGGTGGGGAGATTTCCTATTAAGTAGAAAAGCAAACTGACCCACCCACAGTACTGGCAATGCCAACACTACATTCCAATGGAAAGAGCAGAGCTCTGTTTCTATACAAACACTCCACTGACCTCACTTCTACTTGTCAGTAAGCACCAGAAGCTTCACTTAACTGACTCCCCTCAAGCACAAAAAGGAAGGTGCTCACAGGACTATTTTGGAGGTCAGTAGATATTGAAACAGTATCAATACTGCTTCAGGATCAGGGCAGAGTTCAGCACACTGACAGGATCAATACTGGGGTCATCGGATGCTTGCCTACTGTCTTGTCTGCGTTTCTACACAGGCGAAGCTTTCCTTCCCCACATGATACAGGCACATCTCATTCTGTTCTTCCTCTACCGGCCCTCATTCACTTTGGTGTCAGTCAACAGTTCTCTATAAAGATCCTTGACAACAAGTAAAATCAGCCAACTCAGGTTTAAGTCTTGTCTCTAATTCAACATATCCTCAATAAGGCAGCCAAGAGGTTAGGAAACAGAGGACGGGGCAGATCATTCCTAACCAATCAAAACCAGAACTGTGCCTACACAGTGGTGCACACCTGTGATTCAAGCACATGGAAGGTTGAAGCAGAAGGATCAAAGTTCCAGGCCAATCTGGGTTCTTTAGCAAGACCTAACAACAACTCAGAGCCATGCCCTGCACCCCATCACCTAGAGCCAAAAGAATGGCCAAGGCCAACTTTCCCTACAAGGATCAATCAAGCCAACCACAAGGGGTGGCTGCTAAACCATCCTGGAATCAAAAAATATTCAGTGCTTTGGCATAGGGTCTCTCTATGTACCTTTGAATTTGCCATCCTCCTGCCTCAGTCTCCCAAGGGCTGAGATTACAGGTACGTGCCACCAAACTTGGCTTGGATTTCTTTCTAATGCTGAAAACTTTCAGGGAGATGTGAGAAATGGAACGTGAAGGCAATCAGTGCTGACTCTACCTGTGGCAGTTTTTATTTTTGTAATGACTGGCACGTGGTTAAATTGTATTTAAATGAATCATGCTTTTTCTGTCTGGTACCCATTTTTTTTAGAGCTTTTATTAGTTTCACAACAACGTTAACTAGCCTTGAACTCCTTCCTGATCCTTCTGCCACCATGTCCCAAAGTACTAGAATTACAGCTGCACCACCATGCCTAGCTAGCATTATACTCTTTAACATGCTCAAAACTAAGTATGAGGATGGGCCAGGTGTGGTGGAATACACATTTAATCCCAGCACTCCGGAGGCAGAGGCAGGTGGAAAGCTAGGGCTACAGGGAGACCCTGTCTCAAAAAAAGTGAAAAAAAAGCCGGGCATGGTGGCGGACGCCCGTAATCCCAGCACTTGGGAGGCAGAGGCAGGCAAATCTCTGTGAGTTCAAGGCCAGCCTGGTCTACATAGTTCCAGGACAGCTACAGGGAGTCCCAGGGTATACAGGGTGTACCCTGTCTTAAAAAGACCAAAAATAAATAAACAAATAAATAAATAAATAAATAGTAGTAATAATAACAACAACAACACAAGCTGGGCAGCTGTGGAAGCTTTGTTTTGTAGTGACCCAAACACATGCTAGAACACCTGGCTACCAGTGTATTCTGTTTGTTGGTTGGTTATTTTAGTTTTCTGAGACATAGTCTCATGTAGCCCATGCTGGTCTCTAACTGGTTCTTTAGCAGAGACTGAGAGAAAGGAGAGAACGCGTGTATATAGAGATGTAGGGTGTCTTATTCAACTGCTGTTCATTTTACTATTTTCTTTTTGGGTTTTTTAGAGGGTTTGGGGCCGGGGGTTGAGAGTCACTCATCTGGGACTATACCATCTGGGTGTCGTCTCAGATGGTTCAGAAATTGCTGTGTGACTAGGCTAGCCTGGAACTCTCAGAGAACTCTCTCTGCCTCCCCAGATGGCATTACAAGTACATGCTGCTGAACCCAGCATTTTATGTGGGGGCTGGGGAGCAGAATTCAGGTCCACTTACCGACTGAGCCATCTCCCCAGTGCTTGCCAGTTTTGTTGTTTTTGTCCTTTGTCTTTGAGACAGAGTTCCTGGCTGGCCTGGAACTCACAGCGATCGCCTGCCTCTGCCTCCTCTGAGTGCTGGGATTAAAGGCCACGTGCTACCACACCTGTCTCTCATTTTTAAAGTAGATCTTTACCTCATCCCTTACACCTTGGCAAAGAACTGTTCACTCTTCCTGGTCTTTTGTTTCATTTTGTTTTAGCCTAGGGAAACACATAAGAGCAATTCACCTGCCTCAACTTTCCAAGTACTGAGATTATAGGCATACACCAACCAGGCTTCATCAGACATACCACTAACCTCCCTCAGATCCTCATCCATAAAACAGAGTGGAAAATAGCACCCAACCTCTAGGTTGCTGTGAAGAATAAATAATGAATCCACACTGCATAGTAAGCTGGCAGGAAAAGTTATATCAGTATTATTATTAAGTCAAAATGTATGTGTACACATGTACCCACAGGAAGTGTTTCCAGAACAGGTATGGGTAAATGAGGTGGTGGGGGAACTGCTCCTCAGGTAAGTTTCCTGTCTTGGTCAAAGATAGACCCCCCACAGGGCCGAAAAATGCCAAAGAAAGCATTCTTCAAGCAGGAGGCCCTTTGCTAACCCTCCACCCTCCCAACCAAGCTCTTTTGTACTTACATATTTCCAGCCCAAAGTGGTTTTGCAGTTTTCACAGTAAATGTCTGCAACTGCATGTAGCCCTGTCAGCAACACTCGCTCTTCTGCAGGCCCACAGCCCACATTAACTCTATGCCAAAAACAGAGAGCATGGGCAGTTAGTCACGTGGATTAAACAATAGTAACCATTTTGGTTGAGCTTCTGATGAAAACTTCCTGAACAAGGCTGTGCCCAGGAAAGCCTGGTCTAAAACTAAAATGAAAAGCATGCCCCCAAAAGGTAGTCACATGGAAATATCTTAGTGGAAGCTCTCCAAGGTTGGGTTCTATGGGTCTACCAAAATAGCTCTGGGTGATAGTTTGCTTAGGGTTTAAAATTTCTTGACAAATACTTTTAATCTCAACTTTAAAAAAATTTATTACAGTCCATTGCTGAATTATTGAGGAGCACCCCACTCCCCAGCATTCTTCAAATAAAGGATGCCCCATTCAGAGACACTTACACTGAGTTAAAGAGGTATGCTCGTCCTTGACTTCCCTGGAACGACTGAAATGTAAGAAAATAAATCGGTAGTTAGCCATCCATTTCCTCTACCCATTTGGGAACCAACCCCAAATCATAAGCGTGACCTTTCATGACTGACACAGCAGAAGGAGCACTAAGCCAGGTAAGAGTCTGAGAGATGGCATGAGGGGAGAAGGAGAGGGCAGCCCCCTGGAGATAAAACAGCCCCATGGAGATGAAACCTGCCCACATGTGGACTGTGTTCACCAGTTCAGGTGAGAAGACTGGGGGGACCAGGTTGTAAAGGGAGGAAAAGTTAGTAAGAAGGAGAAAGTAACCAGGCTGGATGTGGTAGTGTACACCTGTATTATCAGCACCTGGAAGCTGGTGGCTAGAGGATCACAAGTTTAAGGCCAGCCTTGAGCTACAACAAGAGACAGGACACTATCTTTTTATTAAAAAATATTTTATTTATTATCTTTATTTTATGTGTATGTGTGTATTGCCTGCATGTAGGTAAGTGCGCCTGTGTTGTGCAATGCCCTTGGAGGGCAGAGAGGCTGTTGGATCGCCAGGAACTGGAGTTATGAACAGTTGTTACCTGCCATGTAGGTGCTGGGATTCGAAACTGGGTCTTCTGCAAGAACAGCCAGTGTTCTTAACTGCTGAGCCATCTCTCCAGCTGACAGGACACTACCTTAAAAAAAACCAAAAAATCCGGGGGTGGTTGTGCACACCTTTAATCCCAGCACTTGGGAGGTAGAAGCAGGCAGATCATTGTAAATTCAAGGCTAGCCTGGTCTACAGGGAAACCCTGTCTTAAAAAAAAAAAAAAAAGGAAACAGGCAACTAAGTACCTCTCCCCTACTAGCATTTCCTGAGAAAATTAATCTACACCACCTTTCCTGTCCTACTTGACGCTGGCCATCTGGGGCTGGCCATAGCCTTCCTATAGTGGCTAGGCATGGAAAACCAGTAGCAACACCTTTGTCTGTCCTCTAAGCTACCAGGACAAGAATGAACAATGAGACCCACGCTTATCACTCATCTCTATTCTTGCTTCTGGCAGATTCAACTGCCACAGAACTTACGATCCTAAGTGGGATCCTGGAGCTCCCCTTCTGAAGTCTCATTTTAACCACAAAGCTTTAATAGTAGCATCTGTCTTCTGGATGGAGAGTGGCAGGGAACAGGACAGACAGGAGCCAGAGCCTGCTATACAATCTGGCATCTACCTCCATTAGCACAGGCTCTATCCATGTTCCCCTCCTCTGGTTTCACTGAGCTGTCTGGTTGACATGAACCAGCCATGTTCTGCATTGCTGACTGCATTTTTAATGTGGTATGACAATTGTATCCGAATTTAACTTCCTAGTGTGCTCTGAAACACACCAGTCTAAAAACAGACAAGCAAACAAGGGACTCTGAAGAAATCTGGGGTGGCTGGTCAACAGCTGACTAGAAGGTGCAAGCACTAGACAGGACACAGGTCACTGTGCATAAGGAAGTCATTTTGTCAGAAGTGTGGGTCCTCAGAGGTCGGTACCTCTGGCCACAGAGAAAGGCAGAATTCCTGTGGAAAAGCTACCCCTGGAACAGCTGGATTGCTGGTTGCCTACAACTTCTGAATGCACCGATGCCTTCCAGCCCAGGTGCAGCTGCAAGGAAGAAGCAGATGTTCCCCAGCTGCTGCCCAGACATGAACCAAGTTTTTTTTTTGGGGGGGGGGGTCTCAAAACATCCCATAGGACCTCCCAGGCACAACCATGCTGCTCTGAGTGTCACAGTCTCAAAACCTGGAGTAGAGAGGCCCACACCAAGCATTTCAACAAGATAGTGTCCCAGTGACACAGGCCTAAATTTTGGACAGTGTTAGTTCAACCTTGGAGCACAGATACCACGTGGATTCCAGGAGAGGAAAATCTTGAGTACCCAGTGCCCTGAATACCTTTCCAGCCTCCTCTTCTTGCTACTTCCCCACTGTGCCCTTTGCTATAGTCAAACTACATCAATGATCACATTTCACCCAGGCTGCTCCCTCTGCCCTGGAGGCCCTTCCTGCCACCTGATCAACTCAGGTTAGCTTTCTCTGTCTTAACCAGGAAGAAGCCCCATCAACACCCATGTTCTAGACTCTCCTTATTGGCTGTGCTTTACTTTTTCTTAGCTTTCCACATCTGAATTTAAACTGTTTATCAAACTCCTTCACTGTGCTCTGAGCATAGAAGGTACAGTTCACTTCTTTAGATTATCTCTGAACACTCACAACTGTGTGAATCTGGCACATAGTATTTATTATTTTATTTTAAAGATTTTATTTATTTTTTGTATGTATGACTGTTTTGCCTACATGTATGAAAGTGCATCCATGCATACAATGCCACAGAGGCCAGAAGAGGCATCAACTCCCCTGGAACTGGAGTTATAGAAGGTTGTTAGCCCCCATGTGGGTGCTGGGAACCAAATCCGGGTCCTCTCCAAGAACAGCCAGTGCTCTTAACTGGTGAACCATCTCTCTAGCCCCCACTGTTTTATTCTAAAGACAGGGTTCACTATGTAATCCAGGCTGGCCTTAAACTCCAAGGAATTCTTCCTTTGCCTCCTGAATGCTGGGATCAGACATATGTATGATCTGTCACAACTAGCTCAGTTGGCATATATTAACTACTTATTACAGGAACACTTGCTGCTCTTCCAGAGGACCCAGGTTTGATTCCCAGCACCCACACAGCAGCTAACAACCATCTGTGACTACAATTCCAAAGGATCCAACTCCCTCTTCTGGCCCCCTTGGGCACTGCACAATGTGGGTACACTTACACACATGCAGGCAATACATGCATATACATAAAAAAAAAAAAAAAAAAAACCCGGCATGGTAGCACACACCTTTAATCCCAGCATTTGGTAGGCAGAGGCAGGCAGATCTCTGTGAGTTCAAGGCCAGCCTGGTCTACATAGTGAGTTCCAGGACAGCTGGGGCTACAGGAAGACCCTGTCTCAAAAAGACCTCCCAAAAATAATAAATAAAAAAGTTTTTTTAAAAATTAACAAAATTTTTTAAAAAGTTGCTTCTACTTTTTTTTTTGGCTTTAAATCCTAGTGAGGTATAACCGACATAATAAATTGTACATTACATACACTACTGGATAGCTGTATACCTATGAGGCCAACACCATGATCAATACTATGGAGCACCAGATCTGGTGGTGTTGGTCTCTACATGATGAGACCTTGTCTTAGAAAACAAAAACAATAAACAAACAAGCAAAAAAAAAAAAAAAAAAAAAAAAAAAAAGAGAAGAAGAAAAGATTACTGATTATTCAGCATGCTGAAAGCTTTCCTCATGCCCCTGAGCCCAGCCTTGTGTCCCCTCCACTCCCCTTTATCAAGTATAGCTCCACAGGCAATCACAGCTTTCTATCGCTCATCTGCAGTTTACAAATGAAATCATATACCAGGCAATATTATTTGTCTGGATTATTTCACTCAGCATACTTTAAAAATATTTTAAGGGGCTAGATGATGGTTCAGTGTGTTAAAGAGCCCTGCTGCTCTTGCAGAGGACCTGGGTTTGGTTCCCAGCACCCACAACTGTCAGCAACTCCAGTTCCAGGGGACTAATGTCCTCTTCTGAATTCCATGGGCAATGTATGCACAGGTGCATTTACATATGTGCAGGAAAAATATTTATAACACAAAATAAATTTCTAAAGAGAAATTTTAATATTTTAAAATATTTATTATTTATTTATGTGTATATGTGCATGTTTGTGAACATGTGTGCTGGTGCCCATGGAGGCCAGAAGGGAGCACTGGATCCACTGGAGTACAGGATTTTGTGAGATGCCTGATGTGGGTTCTGGGAATGGAATCTGGGTCCTCTGCAATAGCAGCCAATGCTCTTAACTGCTGAGCCATCTCTCTAGCCCTGAGAACTTAAATTGTTTATTTCTCTTAAATTCTTTATCTTTATTTTAAAATTTATGTGTAGGTGTATAAGTACCTGCATTTGTGCATGAGCCTGTGCCAGCGGAGGCCAGAAAGAGACACTGGATCCCCAGAGCTAGAGTTATAGGCAGTTGTGAGCCACCATAAGAATGCTGGGAACTGAACCGAGTCCCCTACAAGAGAAGCCAGCACTCTTAATCACCAGGCCACCTCTCGAGTCCTCAGCATACTTCTTTTAAGGTTCTCATGTATCCCAGGCTTGCCTCAAACTCACCTTGATCTCCTGCCTCCACCTTTCAGGTGCTGAGATTACAGGCATGTGACACTATGCTCATCTGTTTCCATGATTTTACATTTAAAAATGATCAGACGGAAGTCAGGGCTTGATGGTGCATGCCTTTGGTCCCAGCACTTGGGAGGCAGAGGCAGCAGATCTCTGAGTTCCAGTCCAGCCTGGTCTACATAGTGAGTTCCAGGCCAGCCGGGGCTACAGGGAGACCCTGCCTCAAAAAGACCAAAAAAAAAAAAAGGGAAATAAGAGGGCAAAAACAACTAAAATTCATTATATAAATATATGAAACAATCAAAACAATGAAATGATCATGTGAAATCACTGCTTATATAAAAAGCATATTCAATCACATCTCACTGTCAATAAAGTAAGATTAAAAACAATTTTATATTTTTCTCCCATACCTTAAGGTTATGTATAAAATTCTTTTGTTTATAATATGCACATCGCACAGCAGTATGTACATTAAGTATATGCTCTGGCATTGTGCTGATAGGAGGAGAACCCATCTGCTCCAGGGCGCTACCTACGAGTAACCTCCTCGAGCCTGACACAGATTTGAATTCCTAGAGAGCAGGGCTGAGGAGAGGTGCATGGCAGGGGAGAGAATCGCCAGCTGGGGCCAAAAGCACCTCATAGGCCAGTACAGTTCCTCCAGGTCTATTTGATGAGTGTGCTGGCAGAAGCCCATGCCCTGTCAAAGGTGCTGGACACAAGCAGAGCTGTCCTAATGACAATACCCCCTCAGGTACCCCTGAGAAACAGTGTCTACCAACCCGTTTCCTCAGCCTGGCACTC